CGTAGTAGCTCTATTTTTACTTGCAATTACAGAACACCCTCACCCCGCTTTTTGCTTCCTCCACTTTTTCCTTTCTTCGGTTTTTTGTCTTCTTCCTATTTTTATCAACCTCTTGGGACATATTTGTGTACATTTATGGGGTGTTCTGTCTATCTTCTGCCTATCTCTACTCTTTCACTCCGGGAGTTGTCTAGTTTCATATCACAACTGCATATCTCACTTTTTTTGGCGGTGCCGACTTTTTAATCTTGTTTTGTTTGTTTTGTTTTTATTAAGAAGAAAACACCAGGAGAATTTACGGCTGTTTGATGAAGTTGCCGCAAAAAAGCCTCCGGTGGGAGATAAATCGAACATTGAGATTGAACTTAAACTGCTCATTCTAGAGTCATGAATATTTTTCTAGCAAATTATCGTGAAAACTGCACTGAATTCTACGACCGCCACAGACTGACGTGCATGTACTAAGCACAGACGAAGAAATACTGCAATTGTTCTTGTTTCTAGGAATAAAATAACCATACTTGCAAAATCAGGGCCCGGCCTAGCCCGGCAGGTCCGGGTTTTACACATTAATAAAATTTTAAATTTCAGATACTTTTTCAAATTTTTCCAACCTCATTTTTTGACATGGAATTTTGTTCATTTTTCTATTGACACCGAACCGGCGGTTACAAGTATGAAAAAACCATCTCGGAGTAAAGTTCAGAATTTCACGAAAAGAAAAATGAGCATCAGTACAGGTTCTCAAAAAGATACCTCTCATTACATTTCAAATCAGCTGTTATTTTATTTCCCAGGAGTGATAAAACAAAGAATATGAAAAAACAGAAAAAAAGAGTTTGGAGTCGACAAAAAAGTGATGAATGTTCATTTGGTTCTTCATACGTCCTCTCATCCGCATACTCCTCTCGGCCACCGGAGACCTCATTTTTTTTCTTTCCGCCTTGTTTTTGTCCTGAATGTATGTGACAAGCTCAACGAGCACCTTTTCTTCTTTCCCTCTCATAATCGGATTCTTGTTCATTTTTGTGAGTATGTGTGTCCCTTCTCCAAACATTTTTTCTATCTCTTCTCTTTTTTCCTAATCGAAATTCGCCCTTAATTTTCACCAACTTCTTCATTTTTCTTCCTTCTGGACCCACCTACGTGTGCTTTATGCTCCAGAAAAAGTCATATTCGCAGCCAATTACTTTTGAAAAAAGGAAGAGACTAATTGTTGCGTTCTCTGTGACATGGAGAGTCGAGTCGCCGTCCCTGTGGGAGACAAGGGCAGAATTTCTTCTGGAAATATATTTCTGAAAGTTTCTGTTAGACTGAAAGTGTCACGTCATCCAGAGAAGATTCTGACTAGAAGAGAGTCTCTATTTCCAGTTTTTGATAAAATACAAAATACCGTAAATACAGTTTGGCGCACAATTACCCGGACTGACATATCTAGTCATACGTATCTTGAAAACACGAAAGTTGGTAGAAATATAACTTTGAGTTTGATTCCAAGCTACAGAATTTTTCGAAACGATTCCTCAAGTCTAAGTATTGTTATGATTGTCCAAAGATGAACGGCGTAATTTGTGATTTTCAAGAGGTGAAGCAATTTTGAGAAGCGATAACTCAGCTCAGAGGTGATCAAATAATTTGAAACTTTTCAAGTTTACAGAAGAGTTATTTGAATTTGCACACTCCGAACTTCAGCCCATTACAATGTTTTACTTAAGTTTTATGATAGCCCAAACTTTAGTCCGGCTGATTATGTGCTATCTTGTGAACAAATCCGGTTCCAGATATTCTACGAAGGTGAAAATGCTCCGAAGCAGACAATTTATTTGAAACATCGTGCTTAATTTTTATCGAGATAACGGTAGTTTTTTTTTTCGAGAACCGACCCTTGCACTGGAAACCGACACAGTTCCAGATTGTTTTTCAAAAATTTTTTTTTCACAAAGAACTTCCTGCTAGAAATATCTCACTTTAAAGTGTTAATTAATTAATTCCCACAGGATTTTTTTTTCAAATTTCAGTTTCTATTATTTTAAGCTCTTTTGAAACTCTTTTGAAACCCTTTCTTCTAGTTAAAAAAATCATCTGATTGATTCTAATTCTATACTCTTCTTCTGAACATAATCAGATTCTATCTGACCTTTTTCCTTATGATGATATTCATCTGCATGGCAGTTCCTGCTCTTTCTCTTTTTCTATTTCTCGAATTGTTCTGTAAGATTTGCAGGATTCCAAAAAAACTAGATCTCTGCAAATGTGTTTCAAGATATTTCTAGTTTCATTTCATCAATTTTTCTGGACTTAGAAAAAAGTCAGAGAAACAAATTAAATGAATCTTCCCCCGTCATTTTTGTTTGAACAGAAGGAAGATCAACCTTTTTCATTAAATCTTGTACTGAAAACGACAAAAAAAAGATTTCAGGATTTTCTTTTTTTTTACCGGTTCCGTCAGCTTCTTTCAATTGTGTTATGTTCTTAGAGGATAAGAACGGAAAGTTATCCATCATTTTGGAATATCTCTGAAGGAAAATCTAGATCATAAACAACCGTAAGACGTTGAAGTGCCAGCTTAAGCTCAATTTATCACTTCTTTTTTTGTGACGACACGCTCTCCGAATCGCAGAATTTTCTTTGTTATCTCGTATTTTTACCAATATCACCTCTGGAAAAAAAACCATAATTCATCCATTTCTAACGAGCCGGAGGAGAGAAAAGTGGGCGGGGCCAAGAGGGGCGGAGGTGCACAAATAGGAGGAGAAAAGCGGCGAATTCAAGTCAATTACACAACCAGTGTGTTTCGATCACTCTTTCTTCCATCCGAAAGGATTAAACTCATGATCCTCTCCTCTTCCAGTTTCACTCCCAAATATTTAGGAACTTTCACCACATTCAGTTGAAAAAAAAATCAAAAAATTATTTTTAAACTGAGCTTTTAGAATAAACTCAGTCCACATAATCTCTTTTGTTTATTATCGAAAATATGCCAATAAAAGCACCATCTCAATCAATTTGCCAGATGTTCACACTCTGATGATTTTATAATCTTCAAACACTTTCATCCACCCACGGAAGTGGGTGTTATTTTGACTTTCCTCCGATATTTTCTTATTTTCATTTTGAAGTGTGATTCATTTGAGGGCACGGCACTATTTAAATAGGCTTCGTCCTTTTCCTTAATTTTTTAAATTTCCAAATTGGGAAAGCCGAAAGCTTTGACGTTCAAAGAAGGTTTGTCTTAATTTAGTAGAATCATATGACTTGTCTCGATAAATCAAAACTTTCAAGTCAGTTTTCCAAGGGGTTCCAATTGTTGGTCAACAATCCGTCGTTGGTCCGTCGGCTCTACTTCGGTTGCCAATTTTCCGTCATTCGACAGTGTGTCCCTTCAGCTGTCATTTAGCAGTATTTTTAGCAGTTTTGTCAGTTTTTTATCAGTTTTAGGCATTTTGCAGTGTTTAGCAGTGCCTTTTTATCTGTGATGTATACAGTCAATAAGATATGCAAAAATATATTTTCTAGTGGATTTTTGGCCATTTTCGCCATTTTCTAGAGTCTGGAACTCCTCTGTCAAGTTTCTGATAACTTTGAAAACTTTGGAGAGTGTAAAACAAAACTAGATTTAAAACGTTGCATACACAGAACTTTTTAAAAATTCCTAGTTTTTCAGCTATTTGCCGATTTCTGGAAGAAACCCCTCTTTGGTCCGTTTTTGTACTGAAAACCTTTGAAAAACGTGTCTTTCAGAAATCGTCAAATAGCTGAGAAACTAGGATTTTTCAAAGAGTTCTGTAAATTCAATGTTTTCAATCTAGGTCTTTTTTAGACCCTCGAAATTGTTCAAAGTCATTGGAAACCTGAAAGCCGAGCTTCAGTCTCCTGAAAATGATTGAAAATGATTGAAAATCAACTAAAAATACGTTTTTGTTTATCTAATTGACCGATACTGTAGGACGACGTTTGAGGTTAATATGTTTGAATTCAAGTTCTAGGAAACAAAACTTTAAATGAAGTGTTCGAAATTTTTTTGATAAAACAGGCACATAGTTCTGAACGTCGCTTACAAATAAAGCAATGTTCATTTACTCAGGTGAAATATAACTTTTATTAACCTCTGAATCTTTGAAATGACGCAAGACAAAGTTTATGATCTCCTTTCAGAAAGACCTGCTTATTCTTCCAGTCTATTCTTTATTTTGTTTCCCCGACCACTTTCAACTCTCCGGAGACCTCTTTGATTTGCGTAAATGACATGACTTCACCACTTGCTAATTACCATGTCCGCCACCACTCTCTTCTACTTCTTTTTAGTCTGTTTCTTTTTTTTTGTGGTGTTTTCGTGTCAATAATCAGACCAAAAAACCAAAGAAATCGGATAATTCTTTTTTTGGTATTTTGGGTACTTTCTGTTAAAAAATGAGACACCTGCAAATTCGAGAAAATCCAGGCGTTCTAGAAAATGATCTGTTTTTCAGAGTCAGTTTTATAGGTAAAGCGCTACTAGAAATTTGGTACACCTGTAATCATTTGTTCATTTAAAACCAACCCCTGTTTTTCTGATTTATAGATAATTCAGCCTTTGTTCTTCTCAAAATCTCATGCCAAGTCACACATAAAACGCCAAGTTCTAGATGTTTTGGTACCCAAAACCAACAAAAAATTAACGGCTCTTCTTCTTCTTTTCTTTTTAAATGTTAACCCCTGCTAGACGGTCCTGTTCGAAAAATTATTCTGGTGTTTTTTGCTGTTCCCTTCTTCGTTTTTTTTTCATGATAATTCGATTTTGCGTTTTTTCCCAGACATCCCATTCCATTTCCAATTGAGAATATGCTCCTAGACTCGTTTGCCTTTTTTTATTCGTTTTCATTTTTAATAAATTCCTAATACTGTCTGTTATGTTCATCATTTTACGCTCCAGCTGATCAATTACTTTCTTTTTCTCTTCTTGGAACCCCATTTTCCCTCTTCTTTTCTATAATTCTAGACCTTGAACAATTTCAGAAAACATGGATGTCGTGGCTTCGACTACGACGGCGTTGATAGAGCCAGAAGAAGAGATATGTGGATTGTACGAGGGATATTCACACAAAGATTCGTGATCATATCTGGATGCACAACGATCGCATTCTTTGGAGTGCTTGCCAATTCTGTAAGAGATTCCAGATTCCAGAAATTTTATTTTGGTTGCATCAACATGCTTTCAGTTGCTAATGGCTGTATTCCGTCGTTCTCTTCCATCTTCTATTTTTCTTTTGACACTCGCCACATGTGACACTTTGATATGTCTGACATATACTTTGCTTTTCGGAGTGGACGCTGGAATTTGGTACAGAAAGAATACGGTTGGTGAAAGTTTGGATTACTGTAGGTTTATACATATACAAAAAAACATATTTTTCACATACACAAAAACATATTTTTCAGTTGATTTTCGTCCATCTTGACGATTTTCAGGAGTTGAGGACTTGACTGCCAAGCTTCCGACCTTCCGATAAATTTTTGGAGAGTTTAAAACAGACCAAGATTGAAAACTTTGCAATTACATAATTTATTGAAAATTCCATGTTTTGTGAATGCAAGTTTGTTTTGAATCTAGGACTGTCTTACACCTTTCAAAACTTTCAAAGTGATCGGAAACTTGACAACCAAGCTCCTAACTCTTGAAAATGGTCAAGTCAACTGAAAAAAAACCAAATAATAAGTTTTCAAGTTTATTGACGGGTATTAAAATTTCCAGACTCTTTTCTTCCTCTACCATCGTTACATCGTCCCTGTATTCTTCATTGCCAAAGTTGTACAATTTGCGATTCCTTTCATTCTCATCTTGATCACATTCGAACGATATCTCTGGACTTGTACGGAACCAAAACGACAAATGTTCGCTGCACTTTTCAACGAACGAGGTCGTATTGTAACAGTCATTTTTGTCTGGGTCTTCTCATTTGCAATTCGGACGCCTGTGCTCTATGCGATGCAGGTGAAATCGTTCCCCGGCTGCGATGACTACTTCAGAAGTGAATCAGTGGCTGGAACGTCGTTTGCAGAGACAGAAGCATACGAGATTTACGACTTCCACATCATTACAGCGATTCAGATGATGTTCCCATTCGTTGTCTTGTTACTTTTGAACTTCACGATTATCAAGAGATTAGTTGCTGAGAAACGAGAAAATGTAAGAATCGCCAAAGAAAGAACAAGTACTTAACCCGAATTAATTTCCAGATGTACCCGATTCTACGTGGCGCCGGAGTGACTACCGAAGCTAAAAAAGCTTCGTTCGTTCAGGGAAACGTTCCAGAGAACTATGTGCTTCTTCAAGTGGCCGCAGACGTCATCAAAGAATCTTTGATTCACAGGTAACCTTAAAATGCTAGTGATTCTGAGTGCTCCACTCGAGAGGTGTTGTTAACTAAAATCCCGCGTACAGTTCGGTTGCTGTGTCATCTGAAATCGTTGCAAACGAGGAAGCAGACGATGTTGACTGCTCAGGTGACGTGGATTTACCACGTCATCGACCTTCAATCTTTCACACCTTTGTACTGGCACTCAAGGAGTGAGTCAGAAGGAAACGTCGTTGTACTCCACTTCTAACTTCTAAAACTGGAAAAATCTCAACTTCTAAACCTATACACCACTTCTTTTGTCTTCTTCACCCTTTGTTTTTTTTTCAATATTTAAAAATTTTCAGATCGTCTCGAAGCAAACGATCCCAACTCCGAAATGCAATTTACACGATGATGGCGATTGTCACATCATATTTGGTTTGCAATGGCGTTCATCTGTTTTTGACAATCTTGGAACGTTTCAATCCATCTTATCTTTATGATTCGGTTGACAGTTCTCAATCTAGCACCTTTTATATTGGTTGGTTGAAAACTTTGGTTAGAATTCTCAAACTATGCGTTGTTACAGTGTTATCCGACACCGTATCCATTTGCTACATGATATCGTCTGCCATTCGTATTTTCATCTATGCCAAGTGCAATCCGAAACTTCGTCAAGAAATCGCTGACTACATGAAACGAGAGAAGAGTCTTGAAACGAACAGTTCCTAAATTAGTTTTTTATCTTTTCCGAAACCACCCCATTTTTCTTTGTCTATTGCTCTTATTACGGGAGTTCATATTATGACGATGGAGATAAAATAAATAATCAATCGTAATAAGGGGTGACAAAAGATAGAGACAAAGAAAGAATAGATAAATGAACAACTGTGGGACAATTTCGAATTTCACTCGAATAGTTAAAGTCTAAAACTCATCGGAAATGAACACAAGGGGAGTTTAAATCAGCTCGAAGGGGAAAGGAAAAGAAAGAAAATTGAAAAGAAAAAAGAAAAAAAGAAAAGGAAAGAGTCAAGTTAGATCGTCAGCTTGGCAATGTCAGCGAGATATTCTTCTTCACGCTTGATCTTTTCCATCTGATTCGGTTGGAGATGGTCACCATTGGCTTGTTTTTGCTGCAAAAATACGAGAGCTTTACATAAGAACGAATTACTTTGATACATACTTTGAGAACCTGAATCTCATCAACCTTCTTTTTTAGCTGGAACAGTTTACGGTCTTGATCCGACTGTTGTGGGCGGAATGGCTGAGGAACGTTTCCGTTTCCATTTGTCCTTTGTGGCGCTGGCCGATGATTCTGGTTTCCATTGGCAGCGGCAGGAGCCGATGGTGGGCCAGCTGCTCCACCACCTCCTAGTGGTTTCCTGAGATGAGGTGGAATGTAAGCACCAGCTTGACGAACCGCTCCGGCTGGAACGTTGTTCAAAGGATGAGAAGCATCCTTCTTCTTAATGGGGAGACCAGCGGCCATCTTGTCGGTCTTGGTAAGCTCCTTTATGGCGAACTTGTTGTAGCCCATCATTGGACGCCACCGCACTTCCCAAAGTTCTTCTTTTGGAGAGTCGAAGTGGGTTTCAGCAAGCATGCGACCCGTATAATGCCAGAACCGGTAGCAATTGTCGATGCGGAGACGTGGAGCAGTGGTACACGTGACAAAGTGTTGGCCATCTGGAGCCCAGTCGAAGAGAGTTGTATTTGGAACTTCAATCGAAATGATCTCCTTCTTATTTTCCGCATCCCAGAACTCCATTTTTCCCTTTGAGATGTTTCCGAAACCGCAAACAAGAACGATGTTTCCAAATGCGTTATAGAATATGTCGTTTCTTGGTCCTTCAGCCATATCAAAGATTGGAACACCTTTTGGATTGTAGAAAGTCACTTTTGCTGGCATGTAACCATAGCAAACAGCGAACTCGCGTCCATTTGGATTCCACTTTGCAGCGTAAATTGGTCCTTGTTTCTCAAGTGGAACGATCACTGAGTCTCCTGATTGAATGTTGATCAGGTACAGCTAAAAAGGAAAAATTGAATTTGAACTTCCACATCGTACTCACACTCTGTTCTCCATAATATGACTGATTCGTCTTGTCTACATCGACCGAGGCGAGAATCAGAAGAGCATTTCCACGTGGATTCCAGGTGACCACTGCCTTGTCTGATTTGTAGAACGTGCGATTGCCAACGACTGGGAAGCCGGTTGACACTTTGTGAACACGAACGCGTGCCGGATTGGATCCGACAGCTGGAACGTAAACAGCGACGTGATTTGGACAATTTCCTGGACTCAGTGAGAAGCTCGTGGCTCCCTTTTCCACAAGTTTGTGTTCATATCTATCTGAAAAAAAAGAGAGCTGAATTGAACATTTTTTCTTAATATGCATACCGAAGGACATGCCGTTGTAGAAAAAGATCTCGCTTCCAACCATCCGAGCGGCCAAAGCCTCATCGTCGGAGAATTGTGGCTCCCATGAAGCCTGAAAAATTTTGTGTTATTATCCGTTCCAGTAGTTTTAAAAACCCACTTCTTTTGGAGCAGAAAATGTTGATACGTGTCTTCCGTCAGCCAGACTGAAAACTCGAACATTCGGCTCAGGCTTTTGATTTTCTGATGTCTGAAAAATGCATATTTTGAAATAATATTGACAATGTTTCGATACCTTTGCTCCATAGATAGCCCATGGCTCGAAAGTCAGCAAGTAGTTGTCTCTGGGAGAGAACAAGATTTTCCGTGTTCTTTTCAGCTCCACGCAGAGAATTTCTTTGTGTGTTGCGATCTCGAATACCCGTGTTCTGAAAACATACTATTCATAACCTTGAAAGCTAATTTAAATTCTTACACTTGATTATCGCAGTAGGCGAACAGCTGTCCGTTATTGCTGTATGCGAACACATTACAGGCAACTTCTTTTGATGAACTAAAAATGAACACTGGTTTCTGAGAAAAAAAAACATTTAAATACTTACTTGTTTTGCTCGAAGACTGTCACTGCATCTGTCCCCAACCCGCGCTTCAAGTAGAAGCCTTGACTTGATCGAACTGAAGCATTTCGTAATTTAGGCCCTTCCCTCATTTTTTTAGAACTTACCGGCGTACACCAGGTTATCACCCATTTTATTGACTGAAATCAATAGTCGAGAAAATCTGAAAATTAGAGTATTTTTGAGGAGAGCTGGAAGAAATAAGCTGTTAACACGAATCAGAATAAAAGTGCAAATCACGAGACGGCGTCGTTTTTGATGCCGACGTACTTTCAGGTGCAGATAATGGTGCACCGTATATGCCAGGAGCCAGAAAGAACTCAGTACTAGCCGAGCAAGTTTTTGGCCTAAAACTGTTGATCCGAAGTGCACGAAAATCCAAGAACTTTCGAAAAAAATGTTCAAAGATATTTGGTGCAATTGTGCGTCAGTGTGTTCACACAAAATGACAGGCGTCGCTCCCGGGCGCGGCAGTTTCAATAAATTTGGGACTTTCAAAAAAGAAATTTCAGTGGCAGGTGTGAGCTCACAGCTTCTTGGAACAAAACATGTATCTTCGAAAAAAAAACAGCATACTCTAGAAAAAATGACAGGAAAGCTTTGAAAACAGTGAAATCAACACTGTCTTCGTAAAAGTTAATACTATTATTTATTCTGGTACAAAAAATGGAGGTGTGGAAGAGATACCCAGGTGGCCATGGCTGAAGGTCCCACAATGACAATCACGTAACCTGAATATCCGGCGTGTTTGGTTTTACCGGGGTTTCTCTTCCACAACTCCGATATTTTTGTACCAAAATAGTTTTTCTACAAAACCGTCAACTTCAATTTTTACAAGAAAGCCTGGTCTTGTCATCTAAAAGGTCAGTTCGCTTCCTGGTATTCTTATTTTAATGGGATTATAGTAACCAAAATTAGAAATTTATAAACTTCTGTTCACCTGTTTAGAACATCATGGTACATATCACACATTATCAGTGAATCTATTTATCTAAAAAAATGCACCCCTCATTTGTATGCTGATTCGAGGAGTAAGACCACTGCCAGGATGTCTGGATATTTTGAATTTCATTGTCCAGCTGTCTGAAAATAAGATCGCGCGTAGGCACGAGAAGGAATTAATTGTTCTTGTTTTGTTTTTTGAGACAGAACGACGAATGGAACAATTTAACTTGACGACGTATACCCAAGAAACCACTATTCAAAAAGTTTAAATATCGCGGTGATCTGGTGATTCATGGCTTCTTTTTGGAAAGTTTTGAAAATTGTAGAGATCTGAAAAAATGTATTTTTGCTAAAGTTCCCCCCCCCCTTTTGCAAATTTATCTGATTAAAATCAAAGTATCTGCAAGTGAGATTCTTTATATTCCAATCTACTTTTCTGCACAAACATGCACACAATTCACGTTTTTGGTGGCTAATACGAGATTTGAAGTCATAATCGTTATGACTTGAAATAAAAGGATTCAATCAAACATCTTTATTTGGAAACTCCTTTCTCTATATTTAACCCCCCCCCCTATTTTATGCCCTTTGTAATAAATTAATCCTTTCGTTTTTTTTAAATCTCATTTTCTTTAGACCCCATCGCAGGAAGAAATTCTTCCGAACACGGTTTTTTTTCAGTACGTAAAGTAAATGTTCTTTAACGCGAATACCGTAGTTCAGCGCGCTGAGTATCGACGCGCATGCATTAAACTGAACGGCCGAGTCGCTACGCAGGTGTGCCTGCATTCCATCAAAAAATGCGCGAATTTAAAATTACGTTTAAAAACGTCCCGGAAAAACACCGTGCCGAAGAATATTTTTCCTCACTTTAAGACTTTCGAATCTTGAAATCCAAAGTGGTGAGTACTTATATTATAATCCACATGTTTTTTACATTCAAACTCTGGATTATATTGGCAAATGACGATAGAAATGTGGAAAGTAGAGATATTTTCCGATTAATTACTTGAGTGAGGAGGAAGTCAGAAGTACTTAATCATTAGACAGCTCATCCTTTTTTTAGTTTTTTTCAGCGATCGGAAACTAAAACTCATCTGATGTACTAGGTAGAAAATACAAATCAGAGATGTGAGGATTCAGTGTTCGAGATTCTGCGTTCCGTATTCCGTATTCCAGATTCCGGTTTCAGGATCCAGGATTTAAGATCAAAGATTTAGGATCCAGGATCCAGTATTCAAGATTCAGGATCCAGGATTCAACATTCAGTATCCAGGATTCACTATCCAGGATCCCAGATTCAAGATTTAGGATCCAGGATTGAAGTTTCAGGATTCAGGATTCAGGATTCAAAATTTTGTAAACTGATGAAAGTATGTAATATTATGACAAATTTTTATGTTTCTTATCGTTGAATTAATGTTTAGTCATTTCCTTTTTTTAGTTACAAGAAATGATAAAATGAGGAAGCAAATGTCAGAAAAAAAAGATGGAATAAAGATCAAGTCAGAAAAAAACATTTGAAAAGATGAGCAGAATAACTTCCGATTTATGAGAAAAACTGCACAAAAATAAATATCATTCTGATTCATTGATTAAATTAGAAATTGCTTGATCCAAAAATGAAATAAGTCAAACAAAATGTTACCGTATCCCTTCGTTTCATCTTCTACCAAAAAACGCAGCTGTTTTTTGTTTTTTGAAGATTTGTGATGCCGATTTTCAAAATTCGAAATCCGATAACCTAGTGTTTTTCAAAACTACGTTTTCTATCTGATCAGCTCAGGAAATGGTAGATTTGGAATTGAAATGTATTGTATATAAAACAAATCAGCTTTCCGATTGATACTTCCAAGGATACTAGAACAAAAATAAAACCAATGATCTGATGTTCTCTGGAATTCCTGGAATCTTTGTTATGTCATAATAGGTGCAATTTTGATCAAATTTCAAAATGCGTACATATCGGTATAAACGTAAATTAACTTTTAAACAGAATCAACCAATAATCGAATCGAATATCCAAAAGTAGAACTTTTTCATGCTTGGTGTATAAAATGTGACATCTTAAATTTCGGTGTTTTCTGAAAACCTGATTAAAAAAGAAATTGAGAGTGGGTTAATGGAAAATCAGAATAGGGTGGCGCACAATTACAAGGACTGGTATAAACGAGTATATCTCTAGACATCTAATGTTTCTTGCAAATTGTAATTTCCAATAGGTGAAGCAACTGCGACAAGTGGTAACTCGGCTCAAAGGTGATCAATTAAATTGGAACTTGGCCAGTTTACTGAAATATATTTTGAATTTTTGCACTCAAAATTTGAGCCCAGTAAAACGCTATACTCAAATTTTATTTATAGTACAAACTTGAGTCCGGGTAATTATGCGCCACCTCTTTTTCAACAGTTTCATGAATATTCTGAATGACATGCATAAACATTTTTTTTTTCAGTTAGTCAATAATAATCTGACTGCGTGGTTGAAATGTCGACTAGTACACCTTTACAAAATTAGAACATTATCCGCTAGTATTTATGGATAAAAACTGACTGGATGGCTTAAAAATCGAATTTCTCCTGATTTTATAAATATTAATGTCTCATGGAAAATTAACGCGAATTATCTGAAATTCTTCGATTTTTTTTGGAAAACTATGCTAACAACTTTTGGCTACAACTTTCTCAATGCGTTTTAAAAATTTTATTCGTTGGTTTCCTACTGGATTATCTAAACAACTTGACTCCTGACCTCCTTGAACTCAATTCCTTATTCGAAAATTGACATATACTTTCGAGAATTTTAGATTCACATGTTTTATTTCCATTGCTCCCGATCTGCTACACAACAATAGTGCGAGGGAGTGAAATTATCGGTCTTGTCCATCTTTTTTATCCTCAATTTCAAAAATGTCGTAGTGTTGAAAAGGCATCCCTCTTCTTCTTCTTCTTCTTCTCCTGGAATGATCAATTGGCGTGACCGATTTCTCCAGAATGACGTGTGAAGACGGAGGCGACTAGAAGTAGCTGTTAAAAGTGCTGATAGCTATGCTCGTACTATGGAATCGGAAATTTGCGTCTTGTGAGATTCAAGGCTTTATGTGGAAGCGTTGTCGACAATTTCCGGCTGGTTTTAAGATGCTTGAAACATGAAATCTTTTTTCTCTTTTTGAAAAAACGTTTTATGAAACGAATCTCAAATACAAATAAATTCTTAAAGTAGCAACTATTATATAGTTGAAATGAAGAAGACAAGAAAAAACAAGTAAGAGTGGAGACAACGAATCATCCTATGGGAGTATCATCAATTAGTTCAGCGGAGTGGATTTCTGGGAAAAAATACATAAGGCAGAGATGGGTCGTATAGAAAGGACCAAAATAACAAGAAAAAATTGAAGTGAATGTCGTGGCTATTGAGATGATGAATTGGTTAATATGATAATTATAAATAATTGGGTCACAGAGGAGAACTGTATTGCTGCTAATATCTCCTCGATTTGAGAATCGCTTTGATCATCTTGTCATGGTTTCCGCTTGGGAAGAACACAGCCGTTCGCTTCAGAAGATTCATCAAGTATGGAGCGTCAGCTTGTTCTAGCTCGTTGTATCCATACATGTTGCCGTCTGAAAAATTTAAGAATTAAAAGGGTTCTGGAACATTCGATGAAATTTTCAGGTTACAAAAACTACACCTGGAACCAGGGATGTCTGGAACCAGGGATGCTTGAGACGGGATTCCGAAAACTCCGAAAATTAAAAAAAATCGGAACATTCCAAAAAGCTGAAAGTCGGAATTTTCGACATTCTGAAAAGTTCCGAAAATGCCATTTCAAACACCCCTGTTCTAGAACGATGTCCCGTTCTTACTGGGTCAGCAGATAAAGCCCCAATATAGGAATAGGCCTTCTGCCACTCAACGGTTAAAAAATGAGCAGAATCTATATAAACAGATATGACTGAGGCTCTAAAGATGTACATTGTTAGTATTCAGTAACAATATTTAAACCTAAATACAATCATTTTAAAAGACCTTGATATCAACCAGATTTCTCATGAACAGAGACCCCATACTCACCTTGTCCAATCGGCTGACTATGCATAAGTCCAACAATTGAAAGAATAAGAAGAGCAAGGAAAATTGTGGCACGGACCATGATTTTGATTGGGCTAGTTTAGAAGTGGAGAAGACGAAGTCCTGAATCAAGTGTTTATATATAGTGGAAAAGAGGTTGGCTGAAGTGGAGAACAAGAAGAGGGGCGGAGTCTTTGTTTTGGAGCCATTGAGACTCCGCCCACTTCTCCGACTGCTCTAATTGTAGAGATATGAGAAGGGAAATAGAGAGGGTGGAGAAGAGGTAGAGGATGAGGAGAAGTTGGAAGATAGTACGGATGATTTGGGGTGTTTGGTTTTGGATAAAATAGAAGAAAAAGAGGCCTAATGCGATTTTATCAAAGGATTGTGAGGTGCAGAATTTTGAATTCCAAAGAAATCAAATTTTAAGGATTTAAAGCGCTCATTTTACCAATTCCATTAGTAGGAGTTGATCAGATATTGGGATAAGTAGAGAGATGTTTCTGATGTCGGATAATTCATTACGACAAAGTTAGTTGATCGAACAAGCCGCAAGATTTTTGTGGTTTGCTTCCAGGATTATAAGATATTGAAAAAGGATACCCGGAAATATTTTCAGGATTCCGCCTAGAATTTTGGCCCGCTTACGGAATACCGTAAACACTTAATTGAATGAACCTCCTAACATTCATTTTGTAGCCCATATATATTGGTTTATGTGAAAGATATCAAAATGTGGTCATCTGGAAAAATATTTTCGACATTATGATAAAATTTTGTCAGTTGGTCATTTTTGGTACCATTTACAGTCAGTTAGATATATGGGCTCAAAGTTGACAGTATCTTATTAAGTTTACTTTTATGAGATGATTGAATTTGAAGATTTTTCTAGTTATATTGGTCAGTTTGGCAAACAATATACAAACTTTCTAAAAAAGATGTACTAAGGTTTTAAAGCCCAATCCCAACATAAATACTGATCATACGGGCGGTTAAAAAGTGTCCTAGATTCATAATCCTGTCAATCAGAGTTCCACTTGTTTGATCAATGATATGGTCCTGATTGGTATACGTGCCCTTAAAGATTCCAAGTGATTCAGATCATATTTTAAAAGTCCCGTGAAGCATTTTGAGATAACATTTTGGTCTTCTTCCGAATTAGAAATTTTGAAGGGCAACCGGAAATTGAAATCCGGAAACCATTTTGATGTTAGAAACCAAAGTCGAAAATCTTCAAAACCCACTCAAAATGACATTAGTAAACAATCAAGAATTTCTGACGGAAATCATGAAATTCTGATCTACATACCTACAATTTTCGCTGTATCATCAGATCCACAACAATTTTTCAGATCAACGAAATAACGTCATTAGGTCAAATAAGTATTCTGACTTTTTACATTTTTCAGAAATAAAAATTCTCTAGAAGTATACATCGTAATATATTAGGTTTTGTTGGGACAGGTGTAACTCTTTATTGGCTACCTGATTTTTATTATTCGTACTGAAAGTTGTAACAAATTTGCAGATGTAGTCTGGAGAAGAAAATGTGCGATTTTTGAAAAAAAAAACGTAATTTTAGAAGAACAAAATTTTGCATTTTCTTCGATTTCAGCTTGACTAATTTTCAGTCAAAGGAGCCTATTATGCTCCGAAAAGTGCAAAAGGTTTCAGCGTCTCAAAAAGTGTAGACTTCAATAATTATAGAGAACTTCGTGACGTTAGATGGATCATGTCGAAAATCGAACTGATTGCTTGATCAGGGGAATTTTCATGTACCTATGTATCACATCATCTCATGCGTGAAATTGGCTTTTTTATTATATCGATGATGGAAGAAATATACAAAAAATCGCAATTTGTAGGCTTTTCCAATAAAGGGACAGGTGGAAGATAAGGAACTGAATTAGGTTTTTGTTCTGAACACAATGCAAAACTAGACTTGTGGTGGAACAATGCAAAAGAATCGAATTTGTATTTTCGTAAAACCTGTAATAGAAGCGCCAATTACTTTTAACTTTAAGCTTGTTTTTTGCACTGTCTTGCATTGGAGCCAAGGAAACTTAACTCAAATTCGATAGTGTGGGGCCCCTTCTATTACAGGGTTTACTATAATTTATTCAGAATTTAAAAAATATAGTAATGATGGCTGGAGGATTAATTAAACAACACCCGAATCGTAGATTTGGATTGCGGAGATTCGCCTATGGAAAAGAGCAAATATGTAGGCAGTGTTATCTTGCTCTAACTTCCGGTTTTCAAAATACAGATTGCTCAGGAGTCGCCGGCAACTTATGGTTATAGGTTGGTCCGATTAAGACCACTACTAGAGTCGGTCAAACTCTGACCAACTTATGACAAAGTTCCGACGGAATAGTGATTCATCTTTCAAACTCCAACCAAAATCTGACCATGGCTCGCTATACAACCGTTTTTGAGCAACTTGCGGTCAGAACCTAGCCAATATCCGTTAAAAAGCTGAACCCCTCAACTTCTGACCAGAAGTTACAAGCTGATAGTAGACTACGTATAATATAGTCAAAATTTTTGCAATTCGACATACCCATTTTCCCCAGAAACACCCCCAACGTCCCAATTCTAAATATAGACCGACACCTCCATCAACACATTTCGTGCGCTTTTTTTAACGACTTCTCGTGAAACCACAACCCTACAATTAGATACGTCTTTCAGACCCGTTTCTAGGTCACGAGCATCTCTAACCACGTCAGGTGGGTCGCGTATGTGACCACTTGAGACAGAAGGCGCTAGTAGCTGTCGAAAATACTATAAATCAAAGTTGTATACATCCATTATTCATCGACCTTAAGAATAGACCTAGACATTTCGAGTGAAATTTCGAGTGAAAAGAGCTTCGGTGCCATGCATCATTTTGCACCGTATTCCCAAGAAGTAAACAACAATTTCCTAACACATCAGTTTGTAATATATACAGTAGCCTTTCCATAAATGGCTCTGAATAGAATATAGGAATGGAGCAACCTCTAGATTTCTTCAAATACCAGGTGAAGGAACTAGATGCGAATGGGGATAATCTTCAGATCAAATGTGACTCGGACCAAAATAAATGTTAATAAAAGGAGAAGTAGAAATCTGTATTATTACTGGATTAATTCCGTTCCACATCTGGACCAACAAGACAAGATAAATTTAGACGAGAAAGAATTTTATGGGGTGTGTACAGGGTGGTCATAATATGATATGATTACTGATGATGATGACATTGATGATATCATCAAGTGTTATATGATTTTATTTCGTGCGCTTTTGGAACTGTGATCAGGAAGAAAAATGGTGTTTGGATTGTGGAACAAGAAATGATAATGTATTTTTCTAGGTTGGACTGTTGATCGGCATGAATGGGCAAGAGTACAGCGTAAAACCTGTAATAGAAAGGCCACTAACTTTTAACTTTGAGCCGACTTCTGTCGATTCCTGTACAATATATCAAAAAGTGGTCAGCTGATAAATTGTTTACCATATACCACAAAAGTTTTATCAGTTGACATATTTTGATAGATAAATGAACTAAAACTTAATAGTATGAAGGCCCTTCTATTACAGGTGTTACGGTAACTGGTGGATGTTTGAAATTTATCCTTAAACTTCTAACTTTCTCAAAGACCCAGCTTTCAAAGCATTGAGTTTGGTCAACCTTCTGAAAGATATAATTTAAATGTTACATTTTACTTGTTCCATATTCAATCAGAAATGATATTTTCTCGTTCCCTATATGCTGGATCTTTGAAATGTGGGCATTTCTCAAGATCTTTTGTGAGCGAAGATGTTATCGAGGAAAAGATTTTTGTTAAAGTAAAGAGCACAACATTTCGAAAACCTTCCCAACTACGATAGTAATGACTTCTGCATTAGTCATTTGTGACCTCAGAAAATACGAGTTCGAGATTTGTCGATACTGAAAGAGATAAATCAATTATCATTAGAATTTGTGGCGTCTTCTAAGAATTCCACAGCTCATAACCTAAGGAATGGTAGACTTTTGAACTTTGCGCATTTTTTAGGTTGCAGAGCAGGAGAATCTATAATTAGATAACCAGAGTACTACTTCTGTCGTTTTCTCACGTTCATGGTCTCTTTGATTCATATTGAATTTTAAAAATGTCTGAGTTTTGTGCCGCGTCATACATACCGCCACTAGACAGGCAGGATATTTTAGAAGGGATTTAAAAATGTATAAAATTACAAAAACTGACAAATCGGATTATCCATTCGAATTTTTAGGTGTTATTTGTTGACTTGCTTTCATTTAATACTACAAAATTTGTCTATTTTTGAATGAGTTGGAACTACATTTATTTCGGAAGCGTAGGAAGAATCAGGAAGAGAATGATTAACATGATGAGTTCAAGAAGAAGATGATGATGATTAGTATTCCGCCTAGGTAGAATAAGAACTCGATTTCCTTCCCTCATATAGTACGATTTCTATTTCCAGGACCAACCCATTGTTAAACTGGATTAACGAACGGGGAAGTGACAATGACTTCATTTCCATTTCAAATATTCTTTTTTCGAGAATAAAAGAAGGAGTCAACCGTGGGAGAAAAGACATTTTTGCATCGGAGGCGTTCAGTTTTTTACCCACTTTTCTTTGTTTTTGCACAAAAAGAATACTAGTGTTAATGGGGTGGTTCACAAATGGGAAAATGGTGGGTGGATGGGGTACAAAGAGTGAATGAGGAAAGATTCGGATGTAGAGCGAGCAAAGGAATAATTGCGTGGGAGAGGAGCCATTTAGAAGTTCTAGAATTGAATTCACCTGTAATAGAAGGGCCCCTAGTTAGTTTTTCTTGGCTCCTATGCAAGATATCAAAAATGAGTCAACAGATGAAACGTTCATGATATTATGGTAAGCAATTTATCAGTTTACAGCTTCTTTGTATCTTTCACAGGAACCGAGAAAAATAGGCTTAAAAGTGAGGAGGTTCCCTTCTGTTACATGTTTACTTTAATGAAAATATACAGTGCGGTCAATATCTATACGACCCCCCTATATTTTGGGCGCACAGGAAAAACTAGAAGAGATATCAAAAAATGGTCA